CCTGTGAGCTGCTGAGGGTCCTGCTGTCTCTATCTCCCCTCCCTCTGTAGGAGCACAGGGATTTCAACTGCTGGCCTCTGTGTCCTGCTTTAGATAATAAGTTCTGGGAATTCACCCCAGTTCCTTACATTTGTATGGCAAGTGCTCCACCCACTGAACTGTCTCCCAAGCTTTAGGTTTTAATCTGTAAACCGATTGTGCACACTTTCTTTCCCCTCCAATTTCCCCACTCTCCTTCCTTTCCTCTCACCTTAATTTTCCGCTCTGCTCCTGCGTTCCTCCTGCATCATATTGTTTCAGGTACTGGCCAGTGCTACAGAGAAGAATAGAACAAACTGAACTACTGTCCTCTAGGAACCAATCCTTAATGGACATGAGAGTGCCAATAAACCAGACCATAGTCATGTGAGAAGTGCTTCAGAGCTCCGAGGAACTGACCCTCCCTGGATGATCAGACTAACCATTTGAAGTGGTTAGCCATTGCTTTGGGAAGATTTGGGTGACTAGCATGAGTCTTAGATGGAGTGGGAGGAGCCCACTTGGGAAAGAACACACTAGATGCAGAGTTTCAGAAGCTGGCGAAGGGTAACCAGAAGTGCTGAAAGTGCTGCTGGTGAAGCGGGTGTGGTGAGGCAATCACCAGGGCCCTGCGAGGAAGCACCTAAACTGCATAGAAACTGTGATTTCTCCTGCAGAGAAATTCAACTGGAGAGCCTCCTAGTCATCTTTGCAGAGAGGCTATAAACACCTTGAAGCTGGGGTGTCTTCTACATCTTTGCATTCTTTATGTTGCCTGGCTCTGGTCCTAGACTAGGTAGGCAGTGCTGATGGATCTCTTAAGGTGCTGACAGACCCTTAGAATAATGCATTCTTACCACATCATTAAAATAGGATGAGTCAGAGCAGAGAAACTTTGGAATGGCCAGGCCAGGGTCTCATTATATCCTGGATATTGTGTCTCATCATTCCTGAGTATAAATGATCTGCTTTAATCTTTGTTTCCTTGCTTGGCTGGGAATTCACCACACTTCACCCTTGGTGACTCTGAGGATAAAGACCAAGGTGAGAGCGGCTTTCCCAGCCACTGTTTCCCGCCTCCAGTGCTTTCTATTGTTTAGTTCCTATGACCCCTTGAAGCCTTCATGGTACCAACTTTCCCACAACAACCCTAGCACGTGATCATCCTTCAGCATGGATTCCCCTTGGGTCCTCATGCACAGACGTTGCCCTCAGCCTCCCGAAGCCTACCTCAGTAGATATTTAGTAGATATTCAGTAGATACTCAGCACAAAGTATGTTTGCTTCCATGAATGAATTCCCAAAGTGACCAGAGGAGTGCATTGTCATTGTGGCTTCAGATGAAGGCATTGGAGGTCAGAGGCCACGTCACTTGCCCAAGATGCATAACTGATAAAAGCCAGACCTACACTCAGGGACAGCTGCCAGTAGAAGCTGCCTCCTGCTTCTAGCAGACACTGGATGGATGCCTCTTCATGCCTGCTTGTGGGATAGACAGTACACAGAAAGAGCGCAGACTCTGTGCCTGAGCAAGGTGCTCGATCATTCTGTGACCCAGTTCTCTAGAAAATGGTTAGTAATAATACTCACTTGGTGGGGCTGTTGTGAACTAAAACAAATCAACCCACATAAAACGTTACTAATAGACACATGGGAAATGTTAAGCAATTGTTATCTCTCACTGTCAGGATACAGTGGATTTATTCTGTTCCATGTCCTTATTGTAGATCAAAATTTTCTGTGGGAACACTACCGCAATTTGTTTTTATTCTGTGAATATTCTCTCTTGGCCTCAGACGTCTACCCCAGCTCTGTGTTCTCACAGTTTAAAATAGGTAATAAATGCCTGCACTGCAGCCAAACCACACACTGCTTCTCTCCTACTGCGAATTTTGAAGTTTGAGGATTCACATGTTTCTTCACAAGTATACTCAGAAAAAACTATGCTGTAGTGTAGTGAATGTGTGCCATTAAGAATGCTGCTCCCTCGCATCAAAAGCTTCCCCCAGGCTAAGCTAGATACTGTTGAGAAGTTTGATTAACTGAGCTGATTGTTGGGAAGTGATTTATGTCACCCCTGTTTCCCCTGTTTTTCAGAGCAGGTATGACTTACAGGAAACTTAAAAAGGAAGGAAGATAATTACTTCCCATATATAAAGTTGTATGCCAGAATTTTGGTGTTTTAAACATGTTCTCTCATAATGGAATTTTCTGTACAAGTTCTTTGGTCCTTCTCTGGTTGTTTATTGTTGACATTATTAACAGCTTCTGTTGGTTAGAGTATGATGTGTGTGTGTGTGTGTGTGTGTGTGTGTGTGTAGTTTAGTGACTTCCTGTTTACCTCATCTTAAAAGAAGCTAGCAGCTGATTTGTGTTCAAGTGGGAGAAGTAGCAGCTGTGCAGCTGCCACCCTGTGCCAGGCATTGCTGCATGTTTAGCTGCTGCCTGTTCTTGCAGGAGGAGTGGAGCCTGTTCTGGAGAGGAAGTAGTGACTTGATGGGGTTCAGAATGGGAAGCTGGCCTGTGCTAGGCTCTGGAGGGACAGGTGGTATTGGGATGTAGCAAAGAGTTAATTAGAAGTGATCCTGGTGGGAGAAATGGAAGACTTTGAGAGGCCAGCTGAGGAACAAGTAATTAATTTTTCAGGCATTGTGGAGGTAATGAAGGCTCTGAATTGGGTGTTTGAAGCAGCACAGTGCTTATTTTGAAGGTGTGGTTTCTAGGCCAGAGCATCAGCAATACCTTGGAAACCTAATGAATTGCACACACCACACCTCCCCAATGACCTACATATTGGTGGTTAGAGAGGTCAGATGCCCCCTGATGCTCACCCAACATTGAAAGCAAAAATGCCTGAGAGAATTGTAGGTGGAGAGCACTGGGATGTCAAGGAAGGAGTGAGGGGCTGTGCCAGAGGCCTTGGGAGCAGTGGTGAGGACACACGTTTGGGTGGTTCCATTGTGAATGAACAAAGGGAAAACCATTGCGAGCAAGAGAATGGGCTGTGATGACTAAGAAGCCGTGGGAGTGTAAGATGGAAGATAGGAAGCCAACGATCTGTGTCTGGCAGCAGATACACACACAAGCCATTCAGGAGGGGAACTTGCCTTCAGAGATCAGAGCCTTATTGAACCTTAATTTATAGCTTTTATCTTTAACCCACACCCAGCCATCTACTGTTCTCAACTAGATAACCTTCCCCGTGGGAGTGAAAATGAACCAGGCACTCGATACCAATAATCACATTAACAGCAGATGGAGTTGCTAAGTGCCAAGATGTTTTCGCTAAGTACTCCGTATTCATTATCTCCTTGCTGCTATTCATTAGTTATGAAGGTCTGTAAGTTGACTTCCCAAGCTTCCACCACTGTAGGCTTAATGTTTCTAAGCACTGATCTAAGAGTCTGAGCTCCAGGGTCACACAGCTCTGGGCTTAAAATCTAGCTGCTTTGTTCAGCAGGTGTGTAGGCTGGAGGAAGTGCCTTGCCTAATCTTCACCCTAAGTTCCCTGGTTCTCTTACAATGGAGACATTATTGTAAGGAGATGTGACCCTCTTTAGGTTCATTGTGATAACTAAATAGGAAATGCCTGCCTGCATATAAAATCCTTAGGAAATATTAGTTGAGGCTTATGGTGATGATACCAGGCACTTACACAAAACTTCATTGCTTATGTTGCCAAAAACAAAAATTACTCAAAAAATTCCCAGGGCTGGCGTGATGGCTCAGTGGTGAAAAACACTGACTGCTCTTGTGTTCAGTTGCCAGCTCCCATGTGGCAGCTCACAAGTGTCTTTAACTCCTGTTCCAGGGGATCTGCTACCCTCTTCTGACCTTCCTGGACACCAGGTATGCATGTGGTGCACAGACATAAATGCTGGCAAAACACCCATGCATATAATAATAACAACAACAACTACTACTACTAAGCTCCTTAGCCTGGCATGTCAGGCCTTCTTCAGAGTGGTCATGCTTTCCCTCCCATGAAGTGTATAGCTCAGTACCTCACCTTCACTGGCTCTGGCCTCCCTTATGTACCAAATCTCTTACCCAAGCCTAGTCTTTGATTTCTGTTGCTGCCTTAGTCAGTTTTTGTCACCATAACAAAAACATGTAAGATAATGAACCTATAGAAAGGAAAAGTTTATGGCACCCCACAGTTTGGGAGATTCAATGTTATGATCCTTGGCATCAGTGCTGTGGGCCTGGACCAAGTCAGCATTGCCGTGGAAGACATGGCAAAGCAAAAACATTCACATTAGGGCCAGGAGACAGAGGAAATGGAGAGGGTCCCTCAATTCCCTTTGGGAGTATACCCCGATGACCTAAAGTCATCTTCCTTCTAGTCTCTACCTTCAAAGGGGTTCATTAGCTTCCAGTAGTTCACCCTGGGGAACAGATCCCTAGGGGAACATCCAGAATCTAAACTATGGTGGGCCATTTACAAGTACATTTTTGGATGATGATTAGAGAGAGAGAAAAGATCTTGGCTTTAGTAAGAACTCTATCTGTAGTCAGTGTTAATGTTGGTATTGAGTGTCTGGTACATTTTCATTCCTGTCATGTCTGAGTCATCCAGTGCTCGCCTGAGTTCATTTTTGATAATTGCTGTCTTGTCTGGAAGATTGTCAGCAGCAAACTCTAATCTTTAATATGATTAATTCTGAGTTCCCGTGGTTCAACACCCTTACAGCTCAATGGACCAAATAGCATGAGCAACAGCAAAGGTCCAGCCTAGCCATTTCGCTGAAACCCTGGGTACCTGTAGTGCTGTGCCTTGTCCACCTTTCTGTGCTGCTGCCTTGTCCTATGGCAGGTGACACTACGTTAGTAGTCACAGAACAACAGAACCGAGCGTGAAGTGGCTCCCATCATTTTTAAAATATGTGTTGGTGAGCTGGTTTTCTCCTTGGTGGTACTGGCGGTGCTCTATGGGAACACCATCGATCTCTGTAATACTAATCATTTGCTTTTCTCCTCAGGATGAACTTGATCTCACAGACAAACACAGGGAAGCCATGTTTGCACTTCCAGCGGAGAAAAAGTGGCAGATCTACTGCAGCAAGAAAAAGGTAAGCTGCTCCTTGTGCCCACAGTCGACCAGAAGCCTCACTCTGCTGCCCTCCGCTCTCGCATCTCTGCAGCAGGACTGGAAGGCTCTTTGTGGTGTGGAAAGCAGCTCGGGCGTGTCATGGTGTGGCCTTGCAGCTACTGCAGTAAACTGCTACACCTCAGATGTTGTGTTTATGAGCAGGTCACCCGGCTACTCTGCACCTGTTCCTGTATTCATAGCTGTGTGTAGCTGAGCCCTAAAATAACAAAGGATTGCATAGATAGAAGCATCTTCCTTGCTTCTCGCATAGCAGTTTGTATACATGTAGATTAGGGTGAGTTGTCATGGCTTTATGTTTACATAATGTAGTAAAACCTTACATTTTGCTGCCTCTATAGTGTGGCTTCATTGACCCCATAGCTAAAATCCTTTCACATCCAAAGTGAAGAATGGGGAATGAGGCAAAAGGAACATGCTCTCCACTCCTACTTTTAGGGACACAGTTTTAATAATAATAATAATAATAATTGGTGGTTGTGGTGGTGGTGGTGGGTGTGGGTGTGTGTGTGTGTGTGTATCACAGTGCATGTGTGAAGATCATAGGACAACTTTTAGGAGTTATTCCTCTCCTTCTACTGTGGGTTCCAGAGACTGAAGTCAGGGCATTTGGTCAAGTTGTTTTACCCACTAATCCATGACACTGGCCCTCATTTCAGGAGTTCTACATCCCTTCAAGCTCATCATTAGGAAATGACTGTACCTTCATTCTGGGCAGTCACTTGCTAATAAAAGCTGATACTGTGCCACGTCAGGAGATGGGGGAATGACACTGGGGTCAATGAAACCACCAAACCCTTTCTCTCTAGCATGCACGGCTCTGGGCATCACTGGATGGAGAGGACTGAAGTAAAGTTCATGCTCCCGTTTCTTAAATCCTGCACCAGTTCTCAGACCATCCCCATATGTGTTTCCTTCTGTTCCATCAGACATTTGAACTAGGCAAGTTAAATGTCCAGGCCAGAGTGGGCACCTAAAAGAAAGTGTGACCCTCCAAGGAGAATTGCCAGTCTCAGTAACCAGTGAGTCCACGTGACAATGCTCCTGTTGACAGTAGGTGCCTGTCAACACCTACTGTGTGAGGCACCCTGCTTACTGACCTCTGCCGCTGTCCTCTCGCACTGTGTACTAGACTGCTAGCAGTTTCCTGCACTGGTACTGTGGCTGTTACCACAAAATTTAAAGCTTATTTAATTTTCCACCGTACAGTTAAGCAGGGTAAGGAGTCAGATTTCTCTTTGACGGCCTATGCTGAAAGGTCTGTCCTGCTCCTACATCTCAGGATCATCCTGCAGCCATCATCAGATCAACCCCAATAATCCTAGGGTCCTCATCCTTCAGTAGCTCAGTGTCCTGGTCAGTCAGTGGGTCTCCTCTTCCGGTCCTTCACGTTGGACATGTCCTACCGACCATGGTACCCGTGATGGTCTGAGAGCATCTGCGGGTGCTGGTGCTCTCCTTCCACCATGTGGGACCAAGGGATCAAATCAGATTCTCAGGCTTAAGTGCGAGTGCTTTTCTCACTGAACCGTCTCACTGTACACAGAGGACACTGTCGAGCTGGTTCATTCTAGTGTAGGTTTCTTTTCCCCTCTAAATTGTGAAACATCGCGGTTCAGGATTTTATGGATTTCCCAGAGGATGGGAGCAGCTTACTGGGAAAGGTTTCTTCTTTCTCATATTTTATCACATCCTTGACAGCAATTAAAAGTTAATCATGTAAACCACTGCCCCTTACTTTAGAGAAGCAATCACTGAAAAATAGTAATGACCTCAGACTTACAGCTGCTGTTCACTTTTCAGTTTCCAGGCTTGTAGGACCTTCTACAGGCCTCAGTGTGTGTGTGTGTGTGTGTGTGTGTGTGTGTGTGTGTGTGTGTGTG